TTAATGTACCTAATATTTTTTTTTATAAAAATTTAAGAATCAAATTTTGACAAAAATCGTAAATATCACGGCCTTTTAAAACATGTATAACCGAACTCTACTCAGAATTGTTTTTCGTTAGCAATAATTACTCATTGGGTTCAAACCTCCAATCTCCAAGCCTTATTTTTACATCTTCACTATTATTATTTTTATCAATTTAAAAGTTAGTTTACTTTTGAAAGACTACTGAACTATAAAAGTAATAGGAAAATTATAATTTGTTTCCTTGACATTTGATCAATTATATTTTTTTATCATATTTGTACATATACAAATATAATAATTTAATAATACGTGATAACGAACCATCACCATAATAATGTTATCATCACGTTTTTATTAATATTAAAAAATGCATGTCATTATAATAATATTTACTAATAATTTAAACATTTTTTTAATATATTTTTTTCTATCACCCCCACCAGCCTCATGAAAAAATCTTACAAACGAGCCTGTTTTCGATTTTTGATGGCTAAACAAGACCGTGTTCAATATTGATATAATACTATGTTATTCTGTGATTGATTTTAACTGTTTATCGTTACATTTATATTGTATGATTGAAATAAACTAAATATTTTTCAAACCTGGTATTCTAAGAACTAGTAAAATTTTGTATAAATCATTAAACAATTTTATTTTTGTTTTTTCGTTGAAAAATATGAAAGTCTGTACAATTTCAACCTTCTTTTTTTCATTATGTCATACCCGTATAAAAATGATATACTAAAATACTAAACATTTACTTAAATACAAATCTAGGGGGCTTATAGGGGCGATCATCCCCCCCTAAAATACGCCCATGTCGTAAGTGCGGTAATAACTAGTGATGGGACTACTCAATAAAATAAATTGTGTCTATACAATTTTAAAATAAACATTGTAGGTATCTGCAGGTACCTATTATTGTATAATAATAATAATAATATACATTATATATATATAAAAAAAAAAAAAAAAACAAAAGAACTCTCCCACATTAGGAAAATAATACGTTTTCTTTTTTGATAATTCTAAGAAGAAAAAAAAGGAATTTAACCATGTGACAAATTCATTTAGTTATAATAATCCAAAAACCACGATAGATTTGTTTAATATAATGTACATTATAATACACGATAAAACAAAATATTCTTGGAACTCGTTTAAAATAATTGATCTGTCCATTTACCTAATGGCAAATACCAACTGTAAATATATTCTTTGATAAAAACGAATAATAATCGAATATTCGGAAACATATTTTTATCAGTTTTGTTCTAATATTTGTACGTAATTATATTTAAATGGACGTGATACGGAATGCCATTGTAATTATATTATTTTGTTTATCGGTTATTCAAAGATCAAAAAATATATAAATTCAATAAAATAAACAATGGAAGTTATTATTTCGATGTATATTTATATATATATAATTTATTATTGGCCGTACGCATTTCGTTGAGAAATATAAACATGTAATATATTATATTATGTATAATAAGGTAAAATTACATTTAAATAAATAAATTATTGACGAGCTACTTATTTAATTGACATGCCTGTTGTATTGTTGAAACTGGCCATGTATTTTAACAGAATTCGAAAAGAAGAAAAAGAAAGGGGTTATGACGTATTCAACGCGTATGTGTTTTTTAATGTACGTACGAGCACAACTCCGTCAAATAAACATAAATTAGAACGATTCCACATTTTTATTTACAGTAGTGTCTGTCTGTTTATCTATAGGTAATGTACAGCTGAATCTAATCAAAATCTAATCGAATCAAGTCTAAAACTTTGCATCAAGAAACGGATGTACGGATCCGCGTTCCCACTTTGAAAATCGAGATTTCCGAAATACAACCCCTAAAGGGTGTCTTACATAGCGTTTATGATTTTTTTTATATTAATTAACGGGTAACCTTGGTGTCACGGAAGACAAAAAAATGTATTATACTACCTAGTCAATTTGGTTGTCACGCTCGCAGAAGTACCTATCTTTAAAAAAAATTACCAATTAACCATGACCATAAACTATGAGGTGAGCAAGGAAAGTCACTCGGAAATAGGGTTTTTTTAATTTTTTTCTTTATTCGTTAAATATTGTGCGCAAACAGCGTATTAATGTTCCCTACTTAAAACGAGTCACATATGCAAGTGGAATCCACTAATTGGTTTTTTGATTGCCTATCACAAATCACAAGTGTATAATATCGATATCACGATACTCTGTTAAGACGCGTTTCCACCGTTGTTCGAAATCTGATACTATAATTCAAGTAAAGTAAATGTTTTAATATAAACATCCAAAGTAGTATATAAATACACGAATGATTTGGATAATGAGATAAAGCAGGGAAAGCAAATTGCAAACACTTTGATCTATGATATTCGGATTCCAACCCAAAAATCTATAGAAATGCCATCCGAACAGATGCTGAATTATATGATAATTAGGTGTATTTAAATAGGTACCTACGTGAAACGAATAATGCCGTATCGGGATAATCAAAGGATTCCAATAACTTCTGTGGTTCGTTAAAGTAAGGGACGTTAATCGGGGTAAGCTGTTAATAATAATTTTAATTTTTCTAAATCTACAAAAACTTTCTGCATACACAAATAAAAGTAATTTGATATAATATTATAATTCAATACATGCAGACTAATTAAAATAAAACTCCGTGGGAGAAATCATCCCCTCTCGTAAACTGTCATTAATTATAATTCAATTAAAATAAATTTAAATAATTTATTCATACTTTTATAACCTCGTTGAACTACACTGACAACGGTAATACCTAAGCCGGAAAACATTATACATAAAATGATATGTTAAATTGTATACGGGGGCATATAATACATATATGGATTGTGTTTGGAAAACAATATTAGAATGGGATCTAAGGTCAAATCCATTAGATGTACAACTGTCATCTAATGTAGTTTAAGACAATACGAGTAGGTATAGTAATTTCGTTACATTGAATAGCACAATAAATAATAATAATATTTAAATATTTGTGTAATTAAATATTTCAGACTTTGGCCCGGACGGTATTAGTAAGCGATGCTTCTTAGGTGCCGACCAGTTGTTAACAATTTCTCGGTTAAAAATGTAAATGTTTTCGAAATATGCAGCGTATTGATGTAGGTATTTTTAAAATTGTAATTGTTTATATTAAAAACTATAGCACATATTGACTTAAGCCACACCCTTTTCCCTTGGAACCAAAGATATATTACAATTGTGTTTTGACAATATTCAACTATATTTGAATTAAAAAATTGTAATTTTTTTTAAATTGATCGTGAAAAAAAAATTTTACCTAGAAGCCAAAATGTGATTATTGAATGGTGAATAACTTTCGAGGAAATAAAATAAATAAAAATGTTCAAGTACTAAAAAAAGTGCTTATTCCAAATATTACGTGCTCCATTAATAAGTATATAATATAATATACTCACTTTATAAATTCTAACCGTTTTAAAAATAAAATTCCATTTAACAAATAAATAAATCACATTAATAACAGTCATAAACCGGTAGTACACCCATAGTATGGTACAATGGTATTTACAATAAAACCAATAACCTGGTTCACCGACTTTCCCATATTTTCTTCTTCCAGCCGCATCGTACGTTGTATAATTTCAACGTAAAACTTCAGATACAAAATTCACAAAAGTACAAAAAAATAAATTAAAATTAAAATAACTTCAATAATAACGTACACTTAAACCAGTCGTTCCTAAACGTTGGTTCGTGGGCTTGTCATATTGGTCCTCGACACTTACTTTTTTTACAGACTTCAGTGTAACGAAAGATCACTGTGCAATATCATATAATATTAAACTTTGGAAAATTGCCTTACGATATATTCTTTTGTTTTCTAAAACACATATATTTGTGTGAATAAGAATTTTTGAATCTGATCATTAATACAATACATAATCAGAGGAATCAGTTGGACCCACATGACAACATGAACGTACAATTCTAAGCACACAGAATTATTTCAAACCTTGTTTAGGAAAATCAAGCTTAACAATCACATTATGTACATACCGAAGTAATCATAAATTATAATAGTTGACAAAAAAAAAAAATCTAGACAATCTGTAGACAAAATTACTAATTCTTATTTGTTAGCCAAATTAAAACAAAGTCTCATTCAAATCAAAGTGGTCCGTGACCTAAAAAGTCGAAAGTTCTCTAACTAGTCGATACTGTCAAAATGGTCAGAAAACACTGACCTAAACAAACCAAACGCACTTGATTAAAAGGAAATCGGTCGTTAACTTCCATCTTTCGATAAATCGGTAAGGAATCATCTGAAAATGGCATAGAATCAGAATTTTCCGAAAAATCTTCGTAGATAATCTCTGGGTCGTGCTTAAAACACTAACCTGAAATATAATAATACATAATTCGGTATATAAAAATTAATTATTGGAACAGCATAATTTAAATACATCATTAATTATTGATTAATGAATCAATAAAATATTCGAGGGAGTAAAGGGATCTAAAGAGCTTTAATCTCCCCACTTTGAAAGAGTAATAGATGTATTATACATATAAAGTGTCAGATGAAATTTGAAATATTGGTCTAAAGAAAACTAACTAATTATTTATATTTGTTATTATCGTAGGTAGCTTTTAAGATTTTGAAATACATACTATACATACATTACTATATACACTTAAACTATGTTCGTTTGTTTGTTGTCTTTATGGAAAAAAAATTAGAGCGCCTACCCTTCCTCATTTCAATTTCCTAAATTCGCATCTGTTATAGATTAAAAATAGCGTCTGACGATAAATAAGACATTTCGATATCGTCTCCATATTATAAGTACATCCGAATACACGGTTTATGATCAGAACACATTTTTGTCTACGGTAATAGTTTTATTGAAAAGATACTGTAAAGTTGTTTTCAGATACGTATATTAATGTTATTGGTTTATTACTATTATTATGTTCTAATTAGATTGAAAAAAAATATCACGTCCGTGAGTCATAACGGTTAAAAGTACCTACCCATACCATAGAGAGACCGCAAATGAACGCTATAAATAATTCAATTAAACGTTTTGGTCGAGCTTGAAAAAGTAATAGGTATTATGTTTCTCGCGTTCATCATATACGGTATATTTATGGGGCTGTGGATGTTTGTCTATCGATATAATTATTATACAATTATCGGAATATTAAAAGAATTTTAAAATTTCAAGAAAAATATGTTTTAATCGAAAACGAGATAATAATTATTATATAACATAATTCTAATATGTATTTCAGTTTCCGATAATTATTTAAAAAGTGATTGAATATAGTACTATTAAAATAGATCAACTGTAATTGGTTCGAAGATCCACTATTAAGTGACAGGCACATTACTATTATGATTTATGATGTAACCAGCATATTAATTAAAAATTGGACCGAAGCGAATATTTTATTAAATTTGCCCATAATACTGTGGTATTTTGTTGTGTCTGTGAACCACTTTTAGACCATCAGAAATCTCTCTCCGATCATCAACTTCAGGGGTGGTTTATTATAGCAATTTTTATAGTAAGCACATTGAGCAGGCACATCTCTGAGAAGAAGTGGACTTATATTAGCATTTGGCATAGTCATTGGTCTAGAAGTAGATATAATAGATATAATCAATATATTATTTGACATAGTTTTTTAGATTCTATATTTAGCGGAAAATGTATTGGTACAGATGTTTATTTTTTTTTTCATACTGTGATAAAAATTTCTGCCAGAAATCTTGCTCAGATATGTACGTCTGGCACCAATTCTGAAAGGAAATATTATCTAGATGGTACTTTAGGAGGCAAGTTTTTGATTTACCAAGTGGTTTTCATAATATTTAGAAAAACCTGGGAGAAAACGTAAGAGAACGAAAAATTTATAAAAATAATACTTTTTATTATTTTCAATTGTGTTGTTTGTTGTAATTCAGTTTAAAATTTTCGTAGAGACTTGATATTGGGGCACAAATGAATATTTGCCTATTTTCACGTAGTAAAACTGTAAAAGTATTTAAGCCGTATTTAAACTATTTATGGACACTTTAATTACGTGAGTAATTTTAAATTCTGAGTGGAACGAAGAAGCTTATGGTTTTACAAAGATGTGAACATTTTTATTTATTTTTTTTTTTTTTTTGTGGACAATTTTTTTACCAACTATTTTGCTCCGATTTACAATGATAGCACTTTTTCTAAAAGAAAATTTGATTGGAAAGGCACTTAAGACAGGTCATTTATCAATTTTCCCAGGAGTTTTCCCAGAAAATGGGAAAAACGGCGAAAAATGTACGAAGTATACTTATAGGTAATAGTTGAAAAAATATTACAGCCTTTTCTTTCTATGAACAACTTTTCTGCAAGCAATTTCACTTCGATTTACAATGATAACACTTTTTCTAAAAGGAAATCTGACTGGGGTGGTACTTTAGGGGCATCATTTTTTGATTATTTTCAGGTGTTTTCTCAGTACATTAAAAATGGGAGAACAGGAAAATAGATACAATACCAAACAAATATTATTAAAACAATGCTTAATGCATGTGTAAGCATTTTACTGTAATATGACATATATATTGTTGACAAAGCGGCACTATCAACCGAACTCCGCTCAAAATCGTTTTTTCATTAGCAAAGGTTTATCATTGCTCACAGGTATACATTAAATTCCCATCTTTATCCTACTTTCCCAACTTTCCATCTACAACAGTGACTGCACTCATGTGAGAAGTATATCCGTCTTTTTATTTGATAGGTGGATAAAATTGTTAGACAATCATTAATATAAAAATTAATTATTTCGCACTTCATAGTCAAAGGCTGGATACGCTCTTGACTTTGAGGGCATTTTTTATATTTTTCGTTTTTTTCTTAATAGTTTTAAAACTTCAGGAAAAATCGTCTCGGTAAAATTAATTCAATAACATATTAACATCTGATTTCTGTTATTTTCAATTTATTTTTTATCAAATATTATACCTAGATGGTAATATAATTTAATTATACAGTAAAATATTATTGTCGCGTTCAATAGATTAAAAACTAAGTTATATTATTTGACATTTCTCGACTTTTAATATTTGTTGAAGATTTTGTATTTTTTTTTTAACAATACATATAACATTCATTATAGTATAGACTCTGTAATTTTTTATAGTGATTTTTTTTTTTTTTATGAGCTCATTTACGTATAATATGAAACCGATGATCTGAATCAATAATAATACTATGTATGTGTGACGCATGTTCACACGCCATTATATCGTGTTTGTCAATAATATACACAACGTGTGTATACAAATTTAACTTCACAACACTTCTATAAATAATTTAAAAACGTCGATCGTGTTCTACTTCTACCTAAGCAATATCGTAATATTTCTCGAGCTCCACGGTATACGCTAATTTGTTTGAAAAACATTTTGGACATGTTCGAACAGGGTTTCTTGTTTTTAGGTATCTGTAAATTATAGTGACGGACAATGCCGAACAGTTATTATCGGACTATTCGAGTAGGTAGTTTAAATATTCGGTTACGAAAAAGAAAAAAATAAACAATTCGAATGGTAATATAGTTTATATTATATCCGCGTAGTTTTTAATTTGTATTCGATAATGACATTAACTACAGTAAACTCTCGGTAATCCAGCCGTGCGATAATCCGGTACGTCCAGTAATCCGGCCATTATTTCGTTATAATAACCATAAAATAATTATCGTAAACGACGAAATGAACCGATTCAGTCTGGCCGTGGACCGATTAGATATTTTAATTTTATTTAGTTAACGTTGACGTGTTTGGCGTGTTTATTGTGTACCGGTTAGTTATTGCGTTGCGTCAGCGTTGAATCAGTAATTACAATAATTAATAATTGTCGTTGTTATAATCGAACATTATTCGATAGACATCCCGAGTGAACTATCGTCTAAACTATCGGGAACTACGGGATACCGATGGACCGGCACTTGCTGCATTATACGTAACGCGCCAAAAACGATTTCGTCGTGTACCGGCCAGTTCGCGAAACGGATATATTATATTCGCGTGGCTTACTTAGCGAATAGAAAAAATAAAAAAAAACACACGTATATACGTATAATATTATTTACAACGTGGGTATACGAATAATAATAATAATAATAATAAAAAAAAAAAAACAGTATAAAAATAAAAAATAAAAAAAACGCGCGACGCTACTACCGCTTCCCGAGCTTCGCGAAGCCGACGCGACGCGACGGCAATAACCGTACACCGCGGCGATACGTAGCGCGCGGGTCGTCGTCGTCGTCGTATTATTATTATTATTATTATTCGGATACGCGTATCGGCTGTGCCGGCCGACGGGAGGGCCGGTAGAGGAGAAACGTGTCGCATAATATTATGCGGGCCGTACGGTAGTTAACGGAAAACGGGTTTGGCGCCGGTGCAGCGGCGCGGTGCACGGCTCTCGCGCGGCGGCCTTAACGTCGTATCCGCGTCCTTGCCACCGGCGCCGCCGCCGCCGCACCGCCCGTCCGCGGACCACCTCGAAAGAAAGGAAGGAAACATTGATAAAATAACGCGCGCCGTGTCGGTCGGTCGTTTCGCCGCGACCGCTCGCATACTATTATTGTCATTATCATTATTATTATCATTATTATTATCATTATCATTATCATTATTATTATTATTATTGTTATTACCGGACGGTGTTGCCCCGGCGTCGGCGACGATGGCATTTCGAATGGGTTCCGGTCGGTTTCACGCGCACGCACGCAGACACGCCGCCGAGCGATAACGTTTCGCGCGCGATAAAACCGATAAAACCGGCCTGACCCCGGGAACCCGCCCGCCCGATTTTCGGATTCTGAGCGGACCGCGGGATACCACGCATTGGTTTTACGATGGTCGTCGTGTCTGTTTGGCGTGTTTCCCGTCCATCTGCGGACAACTCGTCCGCCGGAAATCTCGCTCCGATTTTCGAGCGTGTGGCACTTTTTCTGACCGGAAACCTCACGTTGACGGCGTGGTATTACTACGGAGGTCGTTTTCCCAGCCGTTATCATAATAAATGGGAAAAAACGTAGGGAAAACGGGAAAATAGGTGCAATATTAAATGCATACGATCTTGACAAAGCAACACTGTTAACCGAACTCCGCTCAGAATCGTTTTTCGTTAGCAGTAGTCAATCGCCGCCTATAGATATCCATCGAAATTCCTCCTCTACCTTCCTCTAACTTCTCACCAACAGCAGTGGCCCGCCCATCGTGGAAAGTATGTGCGTATCTTTTTTCTTTCTTTTCGGACGACATCGGTCAAAGCGGGACCAAAGGGGTACGGATTGCCTGAAGATTGGACGGTGATTTTTCAATTTATTTTTTATTATTATTTTGCTCTTCTTGTCGTGATATCGTTTATAATGTGTTGTGCAGCTGGGCAAATAAACGATCCACTCACGTTTCCCTCGGATTATCACAATGATTTCCAAAGCCCGCGAAAATCAAATTTTATCGAAAACATAGCGGTCTTTTTAGTTTTTTTTCTACTGTACGGTCTAAATTACTCGTTCCTTAAAAACGAAAATAATAAGCACCAAAAAAGAACAAAAATTACGATTTTTTAGCTAGTACTACTAAAAGAAAAGTTATTTTTGATAAATCTGATGCTCGTTACCTCTAGACATCATTTTAAATATCAATACATTTAACATATTGTTTCCCTCAAAACCGAACATAATATCACGAGAAGAATAAAAAATGAAAAACATGAAAAAAGAAAATCCTGAACCACCTTACATAATTATTCACGCCTTTAACTCGAGTCTCTGAAGTCCGGTGGGACTTAGTATTAAGGGCTAGTATTAATAGGTCGCCGAGGTATATTTTAATGACACTCTAATGACGCCTCTAATCTGACTTCATTTTAAAATACTTTTACCGAGCAGCTTTATTTGTAGAATAACATTTGTTTAAGGGATTAGGAGGGAGGTTGTAGTAAACTAACATAACATTAAACCAATAATTGTGCCTACGCGCATTCTATTTCTCTTAAAAATATATATATATAGAACGGCAAAATGCATTTTGTCAATCATGAGAGCTGCAGACTGACTTAGTGCAATACATTAATAAGGTATAATGTTTGTGTTGTTTTTTTAAATAATATTATGTACGGAGAGAGTTTCGTTAGTTTCGTGTTTAGTTAACCAATTTTTTTTTTTTTTTTTTTTTTATAATACACGTTTAAATAATTGTACACCAACGATCCGCGTAACTATACATCGCGGACAATTGTGTGTAATGGACCGCACGATATTTTAACATCGTTATACGACAATGATAATACAAAGTGAAATATACCGTCGCTGCGGCGAATTGCATCATTCCTGTTACATTAATCGGGCCTATTCTAAATTTCAATGTCTCCCGGACACGCAGCTGTGGCACAGTATATAAAAAGCATCATCGTGCGCGAACCACCGGGAAAGCATGCACTCTAAATAATACGGTATACGGATACCGTATAATAATCGAAACGAAATAAAAACAATTGTATATGGTTTATTTTTATTTTTTACACAGACACACACACACACATATTTGTACAATATATACACACAATAATTAACGTTTCGGTGGCCCGGTCGAATGCCGGATTATTGATAGTTTAACGAGTGAAAGGGAGCGTTTACACGGATGATAATGAGCGTACCCGCGGGTACGGCGTTATCATTGTCCGCGGAATGAGAAAATTGATTACGTTCCGGGCTATACAATATACTCGTGCGGTCGGTAAAATACAACAACAATATTGTTATTATTGTTTATAACACGCGTAAACGTGTTCCGGCCCAAGGTACGTACGATGTCGTTATGCGTATGAAAATAAAAAAAAAAAAAAAACAAAAACCGAACGAACGACGGAATACAATCGATTTTCCGCGTCGGTTGTGCGTGCGTCGTACTCGCGTAAGTATTTATCATCCGACGGTGCGAAAAATGCCCGCGACCCCAATTGCCGTAAGGATTTTCGCCGTGCCAGTACCTCGCGTTAAGTAGGCACCCGCGCGGCAATAGCGTAAACGCGGTTAATTCGCGCGGTGCAAAAAACTGGTAACCGCCCGCTAGCGGTGACTAATTCGATCGCGAATTCGACGCGCTCGTAAAACGCGGCAAAACGCGTACGCGCGGCCGCGGCGGAGTCCGTTCGCGGGATTTTCGTCGGATAGGAGAAAGTGCGGCGGCGGCGGCGCAAAGTTGCAACGATATTATTATTTATAACGTTCGCGATACGCGACGGCGGTGTTCCACTCTCTCGTTTCGGCGTTCGTCGGATTCGGATGTTTTTATTTGATTATTTTTTTCTCTCTAACAGAAGCCGAGAACGGCGTAATAATACCGCTGTACGGCGTATACAATACCACCGCTCTACCGTCTTCCAATTAGAGTGTGTGTGAGAGAGAGAGAGAGAGAGAGAGAAAAAACAATCTAATATACCTACTTAATATAGAGTTACGTTTGCGTTTCAATAGTACATCATGCATAGTGTTGCAGGGTTCCCGCCGATTGTGTAATCGCTAAACGGCGGTGACGTGTTTACCGTGTGGAACGTTTTTCTCGAGGGCCCGGCAATTTGTTCAGTACTCATCGCCGCCGCCGACGCCTATCTTGCGGACCAATCAAAATCGTTATTAGTCGATTGTTATCACTTTAAACTCGCTGCGCTCTGTAAACTATAGCGGTCCCGTTAACCGAAGCAGGATCTGGGGGGGTAGGGGATAATCGTATGACACGATGAGTTACTAAGGGCGTTCTTTTGTTCGACATGCGCGTACGACCAGGGCCGTCCGCGCAATTCGCGTGGCTCGGGGCAGAGTAAAATTGTATTTAAATAATACGAAATATTCTGACCGGCGTGATTTTAATGGAGTGGTTCCAAAGGGGCCAAACGCAGAAAGGGTTTCTATGCAAAAGCCCTGGAAAACGACAGACTGTTTGCTGTAAAACCAATACATTCAACAGTCAGAATATAATACGTCTACGCATTGCGGATGCACATAACTGTAATAATATATACCTATTTTGTTAGGCAATATTTTACAAGAAGGCTGGACCCTCAAAAACATTCTCTTTGTTTTTAAATTTGGTCAAGGGTGATCGGTAATGTTTAAATTCTGAAATGATAATAACGGTAATTGATATTTACAACATAAGTATACGAGATAAAAATTTAAAAACGTCTTGGGGAGTTATTATATCCAAATCCTAACCTTTATCACTTTTCGTAAATAATATGTCACTAGGCTAAATCCGAACTCTGTAATTTCGGGGCGAACACTTATCTACCGGAATTCTTGCCCCGAACATTAAATCCAAATGTTCAGTATGGTAGTAAATTTTGTCTGGTGATGTCGGTGCATCGAGGAGGTTACGATTTTTTGTTTTTAATTAAGAGGGAGAAATCAGTTATAATTAAAACTGTTTTTGTTATTTGTTATTAAGTTATAAAATAAAAATAATCATAAAAACCCCTTTTCTCCCCAAGTTTCCCCGACGACAGAATGGGATCTGTTTACACATTACCAACCTCCTTGCTGCCATCGTTTATTGAAATAATTCCCGCGACTAAATCGTTACGATACATAATACACGATACATAGATAATACATAATAGGATGCACGGGCAAGTCTCCCGCTACATCATCTACAATGGTTGAGACTTGGCCAACTCAGCTACAGGTCCAACCGGCACATGGCTGGGCAAGCCATGTGCCGGTTGGACCTGGCCTCCGCCTCCATGGTCAGAGGACCAGAAGACGAGTGCGCTTTCCTACTTGCGAATCATAGAACATTGACACTTTCACCGAACACTTAATATAAGCGCTATTTTAAGACGCGGCACAACTTTCAAAACATTCGGGCGATTTTTGAAGCAAAATAAAATAATATTGTTTTTCCGGTCGAATTACGATAAAAAAGCCGACAGTAGTTTAGCAGAAATTCCACTGGTTATCAACTTGTACATTTGTTATCATTGTTTAGAACGACCGCCAATGTTAACCACGGATTATCTCTGAAAAGCCATAATCACACGTCGTTATTTGTTCGGGTTCTGTACGGTCGGTCGTAATATTTTCGGAAAAAAATGTTGCATTAAATATTGTTGGACGAAAATATTTTTCTTCAAATTAATTTTTCGGCTGAACTACGGTTCGACTGATCGGACGCCGTTGAAATCCGCACATTTTTCGTAATGTATTTTCCGCACAGTTTTTGCTTATCGTTTGGTCGGTATCGATAGTACTTACGGTCGAACGTTCAAAACCGTACATTTTTGGTCGTCGGTTTAAAATTATTCTATTTAGATTTATTTATATTCCATTAATTACGGCGTTTTCCGTCCGTATTATAAAGCGTAGATAACGTGCAATATTGACAAATATGTATCGATACGTTTATAATTGTGTACCTATTATTGGACTTATTATTGTATAGTGGGTACGTTACCCACTATAATAGTTAATAATAATAATACTATAATGTTATTATCGGTGTCTATTTGTGTTACAATACAAAACGACACTATCCTCAAACGTTGTTACAAACATTTAACATTAGAACTGGAAACGATAAGAGTTTGCGGTATCCCAACAATAATTGAAAGCGGTCGTCGGGTTGATTGATTTTCGGCCGGTTTCACGCGCCCCCCGCTCCCGCCCCTCCCACCAGTTGCTATTATCCGTCGGGTCCTCGGCAAGACGACGTCGCGCTGCCGCGAAAAGACGGTACGTGTGGCTACAGGTCGGCGCACGTCGTCGCGAGCGGGGGGCACGCAGCTGCCGGCCGCCGACTGGCCGGCACGGGCACGAGCGCGACCAGCGCTCTCGCGTCCCGACCGACCCGCAGACCCGTCGCGCACACGACCAGACCAGTCAGTCGCGTCACGTTAGCCGCACGCAGTCCGCTCGTCCGTCGCCGTATATCCGCAGCGATATCAACGTGACATATTTTACGAAAAAAAAAAAAAAAAACAATATTATTTCTATTTTAACCGCGCGATCGATTTTGTTTGTTTTTCCCCGTTTCGACCCGTGTTCATTGCTGTTTCGATTTTTCCTTTTCCCCCGCGCTCGAATTCACCGCTATGGGCCGGAGCCTTGCGCTGTGGACGAAGACGTTGAGCTTCCCGTCCCGGAACTCGCCCAACAAATCGTCCAAGCACAGTATCACCGCGTCCGTCAACACGTCGTCGTGCACGATTTTCGCGCCCGCCACGCCGACCAAAGACAAGACTACGCCCGCGTCCACGCCAGACGTAAGTGTATAGATAGCGTCACCACGCCGTCGCACAATAATAGTAATCGCGAGATAATTCGAGTACCCGTACGATATGCGATATCTGATGATATGATAATTGCGATCGGGCCGTTTCGCTGTTACGAGCAGTCGACTGGCAAAAAATACCGACGAAATTGCTTGTCTGTCGTCGTACACCCCCGCCGAGTAGGTGGCCGCCAAAACCCGTACCGGCGGCGTACCCCCGGGGTACGGGGCCCGAAGGGATTGAAAATACAATCGGTCATTCATTATGCACCCGTTTTGATATTGCCGGGCATTCAACGGCGGAGAAACGCTAATTTCAGGTTCTTTTCACCCCCTCTCAAAAAAAAAAGCCGTACCTACTTCGACCCTGATTTCTAACCGTAATACCGAAAAATCGGGGCGCGTGATATTATTTTCCACCGCCCATGCTTACTCGACGACAAACAATATTGTCGCAGGCACCCGCCATTCAGCGTGGTTATATATTTTGTAAAACGGTCGCGGGAAAAACGCTTTTCGCGCAATAAAACGTCACTCGCACGGTGTTTTGCACAATAAATTGCGTTATTGTACACCGATTTATCTCGCTATTGTTCGGCCCCGTTGGAAAATCCCGAGCAACCCCCCTCCGCTCGGTACCTATCCAACGATATTCGTTCCGAAATGAAAAAAAAAATAAATAAAAAACACTTTGAAAACCGCTTAACGCGATGCGCAATAGGTGTCTGCACGTGTGGTGCGAGGAGTTGCTAAACCACGATACGTATTATTGTCCGGGTTTCGATACGTTTTCCCGGTGTGCGTTTTAATAACGTGGGGTTGTTGCGCGTTTCCGAACTAATATTTCACACGTGTCGCACGTGACTTTTTTTTTTTTTTATATTATTGTAACGTTTAAACCGAATCAATAGTAGACGCGGTGTAAGTCGATGGGGGGGGGGGAAACTGTGTCGATCCGTTACGATGTCCGTAGATTTCGGGTCTAAACCCGGTGCGCGAGTATTTTTGTGGAACGATATTATGCGCCGACGCGTGCCAACTCTGCGGCGTCGGCGGTAAAATGGCCGGGCGGCATAAGGGGAATATGTATGGAATATATTCCTCTTTTGTTTTGCTTTTGTATTTTTTTTTTTTTTTTTAATTTTTCATGAAATTATTTCTCAATTTCGTAAAAGTAAAATAATGATAATGTTTAGATTTCGAACCGAATCACACGGGTGCCGATATATTATAATAGCGCGCGGGGCCGAGAACGCACGATGTTGTATTCATTGTAATTGTATACTTGTTTTCAACTATAGTGACTTTTTTTTTCTTGTTGACCGTGTTAACATGTCGTACGCGTAAGTCGCCGGAAAGTCGCACCCCCCTCCCCCACCCAACGTACGGTCACGCGCAGGAGAAGAGAAAAAATTATAAGTTTTAAGTTTCGACACGTGTTTTTTTTTTTTAAAAAAACAAACGTAAACCGATTCCGCCGCCGCCCCCTCCCCCATCCCCAAATAGAAACGGTCATATGTTTCGGAGACGCAAAACAAACAAACAAACAAACAAAATAATAATACGGGAGTTCTCCGCCCCCGGTCGTCCTCAACGCTGGACGCTAGAATTACTATTAAGAAGGCGTTGCGCGGGTACACCGGCACGTAAAAAGTGCAATCAAATTAATCGGCCGAGAAATATACGAAACTCGAACGAACGCCATTGTAAAATATGATAATTTTTTTGTCGAGTGCCTGCTGCGAGTAGCGATTATTGTTTTTGTCGAAGGTTCTTTCTTTTTTTTTTTTTATTATTTCCCCGCGCACCGCAGCGCGCGTCGGGTCGCGCCGTCGCGTGCGGATATAATCGTCGGATGTACAGCAACAGCAGGATATTGTAGGAGACGAGTAAACACGCGCGTTAATAATAAAGACGCGGGCGTTCCGTAAAACAAACACAATCGCCACGGACATACGAATCGAATCTAATGTTTTATGAAAATTAGTTTTTTTTTTTTTTTTTGTCGCGTACGCGAAAAATAAAACGACGCGGCTTGTGTTGTGACTGCGTAACAAAACGCGCCGATCGCGCAATAACGTATTTTCAAACGGAATACCCGTGCCGTTTTTTTTTTTTTTTCGGTCGAAACCATTCGTAAACGCGTATTCCTCCGTGTCCGCATCGAAACTTTTCCGGTTTTTTCCCCGCTCCGATTTTTTAAGCGTATAGCGTCTTTTACGAAATCAAACGGTCGCGGGTTCACCGCCCGGGTACGGGTCGTTTTTCGATTTCCCGTGTTAGTTTTTCTGGTAGTAGTTGTTGGGAAAATGGGAAAGTTTACGGAAATACCCGGCGGTTTTATTGTTTTTTTTTTTTTTTTGCGAGTAATCGCCCAGACCCGAAATGTTCGCCGAAAAAATTATAATATTGGCATTTTNNNNCAAACGGAATACCCGTGCCGTTTTTTTTTTTTTTTTTTTTTTTTGCGAGTAATCGCCCAGACCCGAAATGTTCGCCGAAAAAATTATAATATTGGCATTTTCTTACACGCGGCATTATATTTAACGGTTTTCGAGCTATTTATAGACATTCGCCATTATCGCGTAATTTTGTGTTTTACCTGCGTTAATTTCGATTTTACTTAGGACAAAAATGTGTTGTTTTTTTTTTGGCCGGGCAGAAATGCTTGAAAATTGCACGCTATTTGGTATTTTGGTGGTAAAAAAAAAAAAAAAGAGAAAAAAAATCGAGTGGAATGGTAGCAGCTTAACAAAGCTGAAACGTCGACGGAAATCGTACGAATCGCGACATTTCAAAACGTGTTTAAATCGAAATTATTATTATTATTATTATTATTTTTCATGAATAATAAAACGACCTATTGCCCCGAGGAAAACGGAAATTATACACGTTATAATATTGTAAAAATACGAACGCCCCGTAGTCGTATCGTAATGATAAATATCGTACAACCCGTAGGCATCGTACGCGTAGAAAAAACCGCGGGGGTAATTTTGTACGCGCGCGCGCAAATTGCGACCGACACCGAGCAGCGACCGCGTAACGATCGTCGAGCGATTGTAATTCGTATTCCGTAACAATTATACAGGTAACGGTGTACCTGTCAACACGGGCGTGTTTCGGGCCATGCAATTTTTGTGCAACCCGATTAACGGACATTAACGCGGCGGGGGGCGGGGGGGGGGACAAAACCGTTTTGGCGACGGTGCAAATTTTTGTCGTCACACTGTTGTTTGATAAAAACCTCGGGTCGGTGGGATTCGGCGGTTTTATTCGGTAAATCTGTTAAAAAAAAGCTCGATTGTTGAACACGAATCGGCTTTTAAATCGTGTTTATTGTTCGCGCGTCGTTATGCACAATATCGTATACACATATATACGTATACGCATGTAATTATAACACGCACCCCACATCCCGCCGAAAATCCCCCCAACCCCCCGGCTTACTCTGCCGAACGGTTACGGTTACGGGGGGGGGAGGAGGGGGAGGGGGCGACAAAAAACGTTCGGACGGCGTATCGCAACCGCAAGTAACGCGAGTGTTCTCGCTGCGCGGGTTCTCCGGTAACCGGACCGTCGAAACGCGCCGTCCGCTTGTCGAACGAATCGCGCAGTAAACAACATTATCGCCAAAACCAGTTGCGGTACGCGAAACCGGCGGGAAAAAAAAAAAAGCAGCCTGCTCAAAACGGCGGCATATCCCGACAACACCGGTCCGCGCGTCGCCAATATTATTGTCGTACGGCCCGTACTTACAGCGGCGATAATATTGCGCGCGCGCGGGGCTATCGGAGTGCGCCGACGCGTGGGCGGGGGCGCCGGTTGCTTACGGCGTCTACAGCGCGCGGAGACCGCCGAAAATTATCGATCGGAACGACGTTAACCGCCGTAAATCGGAACAACAACGGTGTGGTGTGCCACTGCGCCTAATTAAATTATAAACGCGCGCGTACCACAATTTCCGTCGGAATACGAAATCCTATTTTTAAAATATGTAATGCGCGCCGGTTCGATATTACAACGGCGTCATCGGCGGCCGCGCGAAATCTGTCGGCTAGCGGCAGGTGTGTTGGCGAAGTAGTTTCCGACGATTTTTTTTTTTTTTTTTTACTCATTTCCGCGTAATCCCAAATAAGAACGTGCCCGGACGACGACCCTTTGATGACCCATTAATAACGCCGACGGATTGTAACGAAATTATATAAATTATTAAAATTATATTTCGGAGTTCAGCGGGGCACGCGGGCCCCCTTCCGGGCGCGCCCGTGTACGGCGGCATCTGACGATGTTCAGGCATGTATTTGTTCGGAGACAATGATAGTGTTTTGATGAATGTTCGGTGCGGGATGAAAAAAAAAAAAAAAACGATTTTCTACGGTATTCGTTAGTTATTTCACGATTGTATTAGATCCGTCTGAAACACTGTAAATATCATGTCGAAATACAACAGTTAATTTTCCAAAAGTGCCTGGTTGAGCGAAGGAAAAACAAACATATAATTGCCATTAAAATGATGCAATAATACTATATATATTTTTCAGATTACGAACGTGTTTAAAATAATACTATCGAAATATATTAATAATGAATTAATGACTTTTATCGACCGAGTACAACAATAACGGCCTATCAGCGTTGGCCTTTGCTCGTATCGAACGTGTGGACGTGTGAATGTGCACGTAAACACGCGATTGTTCGCCGTCTCCATTAAAACTACCGGTTTATTTATAAGGCAATACGAATATCGAACCGATATTACCGACAAAAAACCGACTATAGTGTTTACTGTCCGTTAACACTCGATGATCGTCTTGACATTTTCTCACTTGTTCTCGCCAAAGGGGCACCGCCTCTCTGCGCCATTATAGTTTTCGAAGCCGTTCGAAACTGTTGGAATTTACGCCAATATCCACACTAGGTACGCCTATCCATCATCTCGTTATGCTAATAATATTTTATCGCGAAAGCGATTTTTCTCTACGAATCGACCACGATTTTGTTTTTGTTTTTTTTTTTTCTCTCACACGCGCGTTAGTTTTTGTACAATACGCGCATACATTTCACCACGCTTTGCACGGCGCCGGTCGCTATTATATTACTGTATCACGTACGAGAATCGTTAATTATCGTCGAAAGTTCTTCCGTGCGTCGAGTACCGGCTAAATATATATGTGTATATTATTATTATTATTGTTGTTGTTGTCGGTACGCGTACCCGCAGACATACAGGGACGTGTTGGAAACGGAATAGAAAAAAAAAAAAAAAATATAGAAAAAAGATGCCAAACGGAAAGTAGCTCCCGCGGACCGAATTTCGTGTGCGGTGAATTAGACGACCGCGTCCTCCGGGTTCGCGCGCCCGCAACCACGCCGGGTACCGTCCACCGACAGAGTCGTCGCGTACTCGCAACGCGTCGACACTCGCCGTCGGGCATAAAAAAAATAAAAAAAAATTTTAATATTTATATTATTAACGACACGATTGTTGTTATTGCGCGCGGTAATATTCGCGTATGCGAGACACGCGCGACAGGTGTAAACGCCATTACGGTTTCCGTCGGCCGTCCGTCCGCGCAACGTGTACAACGCATACACTCTTCCGTCACCGAAAACGAGTACCGTCCGCAAAGACGTCCCGGGCCCGCTGCTGTGTACGGCTGCGCGACGACGGCGACTATTATGTATCCGGGACACGCATCGCTCGACGAGATTGTATATCGGATTGCGCGGCGGCGTGGAAATTAAATACCCGGCGGATAGGTCTCGGGTAAATAATAATAAAAAAAAAATAAAAAAAAAAAAACGGAATTCCGTCGAGGGGGTCGAACGCTCTTGAGGAAAAAAAAAAAAATAATAATAATGCACACGCCGCAGGATGTCCGGCAATGTGATTTCGCCACTAATTGGTGTCGTCCGCCGCGGTGTTTATTAGATATTTCAAATGTAATTTAATCCGGATTTCGGCCGGAGAGTGGTGGATCGCAGTCGTCGGGGATAAAAGACGGCGTTGTTTTGATAGGAATAAAGGGCGTGACGGTTGCGCAGACGTGAAAAGAAAACTAGTGGCTTTTTTGAATACGCGGGTGTTGTGCGAAAATGGTGGTTGCGATTAAACGGACGGAAAGAATAATAAACGGAGAAATATTGAACTGCAGAACAAAAATGGGAGGGAGGGGGGGGGGGAAACTAGAACTTTGGCACAGAATAAAAGTCGGAAAGGACGATAGGTTGGCGAAACGCGTCACACAAGGTGACGCGAATGGACACGATAATCCCGAGGAGGTATACCGAGAAACGAACAAATCGCGAGAGACGTGAATGGATATGGACAGCTGCTACGAGGAGTTAAAGGAATCGAGTGACGAACGGCCGAAAAGTCGGACAAATCTGTACGGGGTCGGGTTTGTAACGTTTCGATTTTGAAAACCGATTGGACGTCGATCAGACGACCGGCGGCCGGGGTTTACGGTGTCGACAATATTACGAGCGGTCCGGCGGGCGGTCTGTCGCGGAAACGTCTCCTCCAAATGTCTTCCGAGGCGGTCGCGATTAAAATTCTAAACCCATTGACCGTGCCCGCGATACGTTACGACCGTCGTCGCGGTCCCGTGTAATAAAGCGGGTGAACCCCGTGTGCGGATCGCGCGCGCGCGCGCCCGTATTGTGGGCGAAAACACCGGGCGGCGCGCGTGTCGCCCGCGCGTCCCGTCGAATGCGTGCCAGAGAAATGCGACGCACATTTCCGTTTTCACCTCTCGTTCGTACTACCCGGCCGTACAACGGATAAGATTGGTGGTGGTCGTATTTGTACCCGTATAAATGTCTGTGTGTGTATAATATAAATGCGCGTTCTGCGGTGTTCTACTATTACACCGCGTAACCGACCGGTCCGTCCGACACACTGTCCACTGTTATTATTACGTTCGTCTTCGGTTCGCCCATACATGCCGACCGTGTATGCGTTTTATGTATCGCGCGCGCGCGCGAGTATTTCTCCGCGGGCGAATCGTATACAGAAGAACAGAAAAAAAAAAAATAAAAAATATACGCGTTACGCAATTTTAACACGGCGCGACCTATTAATTCGAAAGTAATTACTCACGCGGCGGCGATCCCGAGGTGCGGGCGAATAATCGTACGGCCGCGTACGTTACACGAACGGTGTTATTATATTATCACTCGCGCGTGTCGTTATTATATACGTACGTATGTTGCACCGCGCGTAACGTCACGCGCGTTATGCGACCGGTGTTTACGATATTTTCAAATATCAACGAAAATTCGCGAACTGTACAAGTGATAATAAAGAGGGATAATAAAAGAGAAAACGAAATAAAAACAAATCCGACGCCTCGTTTGCTGCGATGTGCCGGGTTGAATCGGGCGACGTCGCGCGAAAAACGTCCGTCCGACCGACACACGCGGACCGAGCGTTATTGGTAACGATTCACATCGGGCCGCGGGCCCGTTCGTCAATCCCCGCGTTCCGGAAACCGCGCGGCTCGGGCCCGCCGCGCAACGACGAGAAAACACGGCGCGACAATCCGGTCCGTTACGAGTCGGACACGATTTTCACGCGAAACCCAATGCCGCCGTCGCGATACTACAGTTCGGTCCGCGCGTTACCGTCGCATATAATCGCACAGTTTATTATTAACGGACGTGTACCGTTTCGGCGTCGGAAAACAATTAACGACGGATAATACCGTCGTGCACGATGCGACCGCGTTCCAATATACGTGTCCGAGGGCCGTTCTCGCCGGCGTAAAAAAAAAAGAAAAAAAACGGCGTTTGTCCGATTCCCGAACCGAGTTTGCGGCCGACCGCGATCGGTCGATTGTCATTGTTAACACTCCGTTTAAAAACCAACGCGTTCACGTTGGCCAGAACGGGCCTGACTGCCCGAGAATCGGGCCGTTATTATTATTATTATTTTTTTTTTTCCCCCTCCGGCGCCGCGGTTTTCATTAAAGCGTTTGAATTGCGAATACTGACTCCGTGAAATTATTAACGTTTAATCGATTCATCGAACGACGTTTAGTAAATTCACGACCGCAAAACATTGTTAACAATTACCAGACAGGTAGAAAAAATGTACAGCTAGCGCAACGGGCAATACTTTTACTAAAAATATTTTGTTATCTATTTCATACAATAAACGTATATTTTCTGTAAAAAAATTCCGGTTTCGTATTTGCATACCGGGTAGATGTAAATTAAATTATTACACATATATTCCTCCCCGACAACTTGTTCGTCATAAAACAACACATCAGCGCCGGCAACCTTTTAAAACATTATTTTCAAAAGGACTTCCGAGTTATTGTTAATAAACCAGTGGATTTTGTTACGCGTATAATATAATATGATAGGTACCTTATTATGATATAGTAAATATTTTATTTCCATCTTGTAATCTGAAACCACGGTAAGAAAACGGAACAAAACCGAACGTGATCCCGACTAAGGGAGGATTCACTTAATCACGTTTCGAAAACATCTGTCACGGGTCCAACATGTGTAAGGGGAAAAATAATATGACCTCACCGACCCCCGTGTATAGCATTGCACAGCAATTTCGAAACTGAACAGATGTTTTGTTCGGCCGTATTTAGTTTGGACTAGAAATAATTCATAATCATAATATCAGTACGCATTTGTAATTTAAACGTTATCGGACACGGTCAGATAAATTGTTAGGCATTTTTTTTTTTCAGAGAATAATTTATGTACCTACGTTAAGCAATATTATTATTCTTAAAGGAAAATTCGATACGATTGTCGTATATAGGAATGTTTCGGTGCTGTCAAAATAACTCTGTTCTATTGCGTCCGGTGACTAATGATCTTGGATGGCATTCATACAACGATAAAACGCCCGACATTGGTCCGTATAGTGTATTATCATCATGTAAATTGTCTTCGACATTATTATTTAAATGGGTAATTATATGAAAAGTTTTGTTATAAACTCAAGTAATAATTTTAAAAATAGAAAAGAAAAAAAAACAACATTATTACACGTCAGTTTTCGGGCATGTACCGCAAAATAACTCGATTATAAACTGTGCAAACACCAAATTTCCAGCAACAATAACGGCCTAGTCGATTTAAAAACGGTCTCGATAATTGCTCGGACGGTTCTATAAAAATAATAATTTCATATTTAATCCACCGAACCATTTTTGACAGACCCTCAAGCCCGCAGGAGTGGTCCGCGTGTGGATTATAACAGGTGTGTTTCAGCAACCGTAACTTCTCGTAAATAATTATTTGACCAGAACTAGGGGTCTCCCTTAAACTTCACCAAGCGTATATCCTTCGACTCGAAACGCCTTGCATTATGTTATTATATTCGTCGCAGTAGGTATGAGCGCGAGAAATAGGAATCACACCTGGTTTAGTTTATCTTGGTGCTTAGCCTTCCTTGACGTGATTGTATTAAAAAATAATAACACACACACACACACACACAGTAATACCTATGTTATGATATCGATTTTTATTTATAAATGTGCACATTGTGAGGTGCCTATGTGTACAGTTTATTGTTTTCCAAAATGTATGAGTATTAGTGTACACTAGCTCTATAATTACTATCAAACGATTTTTATATTAGTTTAATATTTGGATAAGGCTATTAATAATAGTATAATACGCATTTTCCGATAATTAGAAAAGATTTAAAAACTTGAGTTACGTTCTATTCTAATACACAAAAATGGATCAGAAATACAATGTCTTATATGCATTTATATAACAACACGTAGAAGGGAAAAATAAATTCTTATAAGAAATCAAAGTGCATTACCATCGTATACGTAGCCACCCAACGTTTACTAGTTTATGATGTGTTCATTGAATCACTTCCATGAGAACTAACTCCACATCATGTATCTACCTAGACATATCGAGGGTAATCTATTTAACAGTTTAATCGATTTCTGCGGTTTCTATCCCTATGGTCGTCAGTCACTAGACCATAAACAAAATCATATAATTACTTACACTCGAAACTTCGACAATATATAATATACTCACCCATTCAAAACATTTCCCACTCAATGTTTTAATTTTTGAATAATATATTTTGATGCTACTTCAAGTCCAAATTTAATTAGTAATATTATATTATGAGAAACTTGTGTGGTTTTATATATTTTATAACGACAATTTATATAAATTCATAATAATAATAATCATTATTCGTGCTATTGTGCAAAACACATGTTACGTCTCTTCTTATACCCAACCCAACCGTGAAAGGAAAAACGTCGGTTTAGTCCCATAAACTATTTTGTTCTGAAGATATTATACACTACAAAGCAACACATGGTGAACTATGTACCTAATTGCTAAACCATTGTAAAACCCATACGAACACGCACACATGTCTTTAGGATGCATTGTATTGTTTGGAGCGCGTAGGGTAACATTTATTTTTATACGAGAAAAAATGGCGTTTTAAATTTTGAATAATGTGTATGCCTGAATACAAAATTAACTTCTATTATTTAATTGCGAAAATTGAACCAACAATATTCTTTCAAACAGGAGGGGGGGGGGCTCATCCTCTTCAGAATGGATATTCTCTCCTCTCATGACTTTCCCTTCTATATTTATAATAATATAATATATAATTAATCTATCTATTTATTTATTTATAAAAGAACAAATAAAGTAAACAATTTAAAAATTAGCCTATTTAATTTAAAAATCGGGACACTAAAGTAAACGTCCTTTTTTATGGTCTTCTATGTTTTAAGAGTAAGTTATAATAAACTTAGGTAGGTACCATACTAACATATGTGTAAATGAGTGTTACATTACCTCAAAGTTTCTTGTGTTTTTATTTTTATATACCCTAGAAAGTAGAGAAATACTAAGTCTTTCATTTGATACACATGATCAAAGGGAAACCCATTTATATTATAATCCAAAGACATATTTATACTTGGAATATATTCCTGGAAAAATCTATCTGTATCAACTTTTGAAAGGAACAAACGAAAAAACATACAAATTGTGAATGTTTGGACAGATGACAATCTGCTCCATCATGATAAAACAATTTGACCTCCAAAAAAATATTTCTAACATACTGACAGGAATTAGTTTTAAAACCAATATGTCTTATAAAATATAAATTAATTTTGTATTTATTGGTAGGTTAGGTGTTCATTGTAAAAAAAATTTTAACATTGATTAATTATTTTAGTACTTGTTTCAATAGTCATAATTAGGAAACTGATATATTTTGTATATGTACTTAAAATTCACAAAAAATCACTTATAAACGTCATAAAAGCACTAAAAAATTACTTAAAAAATATTTAAAAGAACATTAAAGGTATATGGGTTTAAGTTTCCCTGTTTATTGTTTCTGACTTATTAAAAATAATCTTTTAACACTAAAAAAACAATTGTAGCAAAATAATTTTCTTCAAATATATTTGTACGTGTTGTTAAAAAAAAAAAAAAAAAAGCTCATAGCTTTTTTATATATATATAAAGGACATATATAGATAATATGTCCTACACTGTAAAACCTTTATATAGAAGTATTTAAAACTTGCATATAAATTTGAAAATAGAGATAGGCACACTGCAATAAATAATTTGTTCTCAAGACTGTGGATAGAATTCTTGAAAATTAAAATTTGTACAAATAGGTTTACATGTGTACATATCTATTTGCTTTGGACATGGTCTGTTTTTCAATTTTTTTTTTTTTAAAATGTGTAAAATTTAACTAGTATAAGTTAAATACAAATTTGATTTAATCTCTATAGTAACTGTAATATAATCATTTTCATTTGATTCAAACTTCTACTTTATAAAGTTATCTATGATTATGAATTTATTTTACAAATATGTATGTGCTTAAATAAATAAATTGTATGTTTCAGGTATCAGATTGTGAAAAAGATAAGGACATAATGGGTTCTGTTGTCTATTGCATTCATCATAAAGAAGGTTGCAAATGGAGTGATCAACTAAGACGTTTAAAAGTAATATATACATATATATATATAATTAATCATAATTAAATTAATCAAAGTGAAATAAACTTTTTATTATTAATTTAATAAATTTCATATTTTTATAATCAATTGGAATTAATAATATATATTAAAATAAATCAACAGGGACACTTGCAAACATGTAAATATGATGCTTTACCTTGCACCAATCATTGTGGAGCTCAAATCGCCAGGATTCTAATGGATGATCATGTGAAATATACTTGTATTGAACGTATCATCAAATGTGAATATTGCAATGGTGAAATGAAAGGGGAGGCCGCTAGTGAAGAGCATAGTAGAACATGCCCAGTTGAACCAATCCATTGTGAAGCAAAATGTGGTGTAAAAATCCCAAGACGGATGTTAGCTAAGCACAAGGTACACTATTTTATAATTATTATAATATTGAGGACAAATTTAATTACAAACAAATCTGTTAATTAGGTCACCGAATGTTCAAAAAGATTGGTACCCTGTCGTCACTGTGGTAGGCAATTTGTAGCTGATACTATTAACTCGCATTCATCATCATGCCCACGTTTCCCTCTAACTTGTCCCAATAGATGTGAAATTGTCACTGTTGCACGTGAGGACTTAGAACACCACATAAAAAATACATGTCATTCGATGTTAACATCTTGTAGCTTTAAAGATGTTGGTTGTCGATTCAAGGTACATTTTTAAATTTTTAAAAAATATCTCAATTAATTTCATATTTTTATGTGCAGGGTTTAAGAGGAAAGCAAATGGATACACACATGGAAGACGCAAGCCAACAGCATTTAACATTAATGTGTTCAGTGGTCACCAAACAGCAACAGCAAATTGTATCTATGAAAAAAGTGATTAATAACTTAGCTGTTAATCAGTCAGGTAAATTACATAACAATTTTTTAAACTGTATATAAAAATAAAGTTCCAATTTTTTTTTTATAAACAAATTGAACCAATTAAAGGTACTTTGATTTGGAAAATTGGGGACGTATTGGAAAAACTTGAAGAGGGTCGGCACAAATTATGTGGTGATGGCTTAGAACTCATCAGTTCGCCGTTCTATACCAGCCAGTTTGGGTACAAGTTGCAAGCATCGGTGTTTTTGAACGGCAATGGGTCTGGTGAAAATACACATGTATCTGTTTATATAAAAATACTACCGGGTGAATTTGATGCTTTACTCAAGTGGCCATTTTCACACTCTGTGGCATTCACATTGTTTGACCAAAGTGAAAAGGTGTGTAATTTAGTAATATTGTACAAATTTATTAACCTAAGCTAATAGTTAGTATATATTTGCACATTACATTTTAATATTTTATTTACTAATTTGAAAACAAATGCAACAGAATTATCTAAAATGTATATCATAGTTTAAATATATTTTAGATAAGAACATGACAAATTAATGTCAATTAAAATACACTCCAAATAAATGTTGACAAAATCTTATAAATAATTAATATAAATATAACTTTCAGTCAAAATTAAAAACAATAACACAGTAAAATAAAAAAAAAGATAACAAAACAAATAGGCAATTTAAATTTGCATTGTAATGTGCAAATATATTATTCTAATGGTTATTTTTTTAACACATATGCAATAAATTATAAGATAAATATTTTAACTACCTTTGTTTGTCGGTCCTTAGCCATGCAACATAGTTGAGAGCTTTGTGCCTGATCCTTCTTGGGAGAATTTCCAACGACCAAGCACTCAGCCAGATAGTCTTGGATTCGGTTTCCCAAAGTTTGTATCGCATGAAACGCTACTGAAAAAAAGACAGTTTATTAAAGATGATACAGTGTTTTTACGCATCAAAGTAGATCCTAGCAAAATAGTAGCAGTCTAAAAATGTATTTCAAATGTATAAACTCTACATAATATGATCTCGTAAAATGTGTATGAAAAGACAAGTGTTCATATTTTGTTTTTTTATAGTAATTTAATCGCAATTGGTTAAATACAATATGCGTGGACTGTTTGTATTTATTCTTATAGCTGTTAAGTCAAATTAATGTTTTAGTTTATTTATGTAACATATTTTTCTTTTAAAAAATACTATACCAATTTAAATTGTATTGTATCATATAATTTTTATATTATACACCAAACTATTATATTATTCACATTAAATCTATTTACGTATTACATATATATGTGTATTTTATTTAAATCTTACATTATACAAATCTGTTCTTGAAGAACTGAAAAACTTGGTATGAATTATTTCTATTGCCATCTAGATGTAACATATCGATCCAAATAGTATTATTTGTTTTTCTTAATACTATTGTAGCAGCAAATAATGGTTCGGCATTTGCAGTGATCAATTGCTCCTCCATATCTGGTTCATCATTATGTAAATTATCACTCATCTTTTGACGCTTGTTATCAGCTATTCTTTGTTCTTTACGTCTTTTCCGTCTTTGATGAGTCCATGTGTTTTCATAGGCTTTAACATCAGCTTGGTATAAAACATTTTCATCAGTTTTTGATTTTAACATTGAGATAGACAACTAAGTTTAAACAAAATAAAATAATTTAAAACTATTTTCATTAATAAAATATTTTGAAATTACCTTAAGATAAGTTAATAGTTCTGTTAATTTGGCCAGGGCAGTTGTAGAGTCGTACGACTCTGAAATAGCAAAACATACAGGAGGTTTTAATTTCAACTTTTGAGTTTCTATTTCTTTATTAGGCATAAAATCTTTTAATTTTATGTCTGTCTCAAATGTCCAAGCGATTCCCCAACGTGTTGTTCGACCTTGGAAGAAACCAGCTTCCGCAACTGCACATGCACCAATAGTTTTCAATTCATTTTTAAGAGGACCTAATGATGATTTATAACCAATCATTGTTGTATAAACACTGAAAAAAATTAACAATTAAAGAAGTTACAACAAACATATATATAAATGCAGTAAAATCTGTGTCAATACAGAAATCATTAACATTTATGAAAAGTAAATTTTTTTTCGTTGATAATAAATTTATGGGTTAATAATATAAAAATATTAAAAATCAGTAGTCTTCAAGTTTTTTTATAAGAACAATAACATTCAGGTTTAATAATATTTTATTGCTGTTGAAGTTAATATCTATTACTAACAATACTATTATGCTATATAATAAATATTAAACTTAATTAAATTTAATCTTAGCATATTATTTAATATTTTAACCCATAACATTTGTTCAACTATTAATTAAGCAAAATATAATAGTACAGTATTTTAAACTCTTTGTAGTTATTCTATGTTTGTAGTAGACCATAGTTAATTATAATTATTATTAAATAAATTGTAATGTATAAAGATAAAAAGTTTTTTGAATATTTAACATTTTTATTTATTTATTACATTAATGTTTAGAATTTTTCTCCTATACTTATAGGCGGCACTTGAGAAAATTACATTTAAACATAATAAACTTCATGCATAATCCGAATAATAATATTTTAAGACTTATAAAGGTAATTTCAAAATATAAATTATGAAAGTAGTAAAATAATTAGTTTGTTATTAATTGATGGTCGTACTAAAAATAAATTATTTTGGAACGAATGCAGTTTAGCTCCTAAGCAAATTTTTGTTATTATTTACAAAATGAAAATTAATTTTTGGAAATCAAACATTTTGAAATTTTCGACAATAACTTCCGAGGGGAGTTTAAGAGACTCTTTGAAACAACCATTAAATTAAGTATGCAAAAACATAAATTTAAAATTTTTTTTATAAAATCACTTGGAAGCTAAATTGCACCTATACCATTATTTTAAATTATGAACCATATAGCATGCAGTTTAATAATTTGATTAAATTAATTAACAAATAAAAAATTTAATAATTTTTATAATAATTATATCGGCATTACAAAAATGATTTAAAATGCAAGCTGGCATATTTGTCTATAAATGACAATTGTTTACCCTAAATATACAATCCCATAATCCATATAAAAAATTCCAAAAGATGATAATATTGATATATATGATTTCCATATTAAATAGATTTCGCTCTAATAAAATAGTATTCAATATTTTATTGTTACCTTATTGAATTTTTTAACCTTTGACTTTCTCCAATAATTTTCTTTACAAAATCAACTTCACCTCCATCAGTATACAATTCACAAGTTACTCCTTTTGCACAGTCTGTTTCTTCATCAGACGAATTCAATTCAGAATAATTATGAAAGGGTGGATTGCACATACAAAAATCATAATGTTCATTTTCTGTTACAGGTAATAATCTGTCCCATTCTGATACTTCCAAAACTTAAAATGAAATAAATTTAATTTCAAATAATTGTATTATGTTTTAATTGCAATTTAAAATTATACTTACCTTGAATTAAATGTTGTAAATTATTTTTTTTTACGTTTCCATTTGCATTTTTAATAGATTCTTTGTTGATATCAGTACCGACCATGGACCACTGAAATTTTTTTGCTGCTAGCAATGGATAAATACATGATGCACCAGTACCTAAAAGATATTAAATTTTATAAATAGTATTTTCTTTTAATAAATTAACAATTCTCCCAACAAATTATTGATGGTTTATTAACGTAAAGTTGGCAATTTAGAATATGATTATTAAAATATAATACACAATTTAAAAAGAAAACTTTTTATCGGATCTTTACCAAATTTGGTACTTAATCTTTAGATATTAATACAATGGATTTACAGTAATCTGTATAGAGTAATTTATTTTTTGTTTAACTAAATAATTTTTGGGCAGTGGCGTCTTATAAAACAATAAGTGATCTATCTGTTATTCTTAATTTTAAATAGTCCCTTGAATGACAATATAAACAGTTTTTACTGTGTATCCGTTATTATTAATTTATAATAAATAATTATGTTGATCCCGCACGACTTAAAAATAGTTTTTTAGATAATAGATAAATATCAAAATTGTTTAAAAGTGCCAATTGTTGGACTGAAATTTAAAACAAATATTAATTGATGTGAACTAAAAAATATAAGTGCCCAATATTAAATCTACATCAATTTTCCTTTTATTTTTATTAAATTTATTTATTTGGATGGCCAAGATGCCCATTTAAATGCAAATAATATGATCGTTAGAGTAGTGTACAATTGTCTAAATTAAAAAACTTAGTTACTACACCTTATTAAATAGGTAATACATCTTTAATAAACATTAACATCGTTAAATTTAACTAAATACAATATAAATATATACAAATACATCAATCATAGAACATTAACATGAAGAAATAACTTCCTTTAAAGATACTCAAACTAAAACTTCTTAGGTAGATAAAGCAAATGTATTGTATTAGGTAGGTATAAAAGTTTTAAACAAACTTAAGGTTCCTACCTGTGTATCAATTGAAAATAATAAATTAAGTGCACAAAACATAAAGTTATATTACTTTGCACAAGATTGAATATAGGTAAATAAAATAAAAATGTATGTTGAAAGTTTATAAAAACATTTGTAAGTAACACATTGAAATAAGAGTAAGAAATAAAAATAATTACATCAAACATAGGTTTCTGTGTAACTAAAAATGTATTAATTTAATTAGTTACCTATGTCGATTCCTTTTATCTTTTTGGAACTGTCAAAGTTCAAGTTAAACAGATCTTCAATCCACAGTAGATAGTTTAGCCGTAATGGAATTGTTGGAACAAGTTTGCCTACTGGCAAATCAACATCTAAATCGAAATCCTTCTTCAACAATATAGTAGTCAGCAGTCTTAGACCGTCCGGGTTTTTAAAGTCAAATGTGATTTTTCCATTCAAGCCCTGTAAAACAAACGTCCCGTTACTGGCCCATAAACATGAGTATATTTACAAAGTCACTGAGTGTATATTTACAGTGGTCGCATATTTCATGAATTCTGGATATTCTTCAGCCATCTGTTTAAAATCGGGCCGCGTCCGGTATATATTTCTTGGATGCATAAATCGATTGGTCGACATTGTCAAAAAAAACTCCGCGGTACTTACCCGTAGACCGCAAGCGCAGCTAATGTTGAATTGTCAGTAACTTAGTAGTCGGTCAATACGAGATGGGAACTCCAGAGTGGAGGGTATAAGTATTAGGTACCTCAAATGGTTCAAATTCAGAACGCATCAAAGACGCCCAGATCGGCCGAATGCCCGAATCTGATATGAGCGCGCGCGGGTGATTGTATTACTTATTTATATTCGGTGTTTTACGCACGCGCGTATCATGATACCCAATCCAAAGAAGTTCCAAATCGTCAACTAAAGTGCAATAATCCATTAGCATTATGAAAACTATAAAAAAAAAACCACGGTAAAGGGCTGTAAATTCAATTCCAGTATCTACACAACTAATGACAAATTATTGTTGTGTTAATAAATAATAAATAATAAATTAACAAATAATTGGCTTGATTGTTTGTTCAAAGAGTATACAAACACTTGTACAAAAAAACATATTAAAGTGGGTTTTTAGGGAGATTCAAAAGTAATAAAAATTACACATTATGAACAATAGAACTATTAGTACCTATACTTCAAATTTTTTTTCAGCGTTTCAAGCGTTTTTCAAATTTCTGAGGAAAGGGGGAGTTGAGCCACTAAATATCCTTTTTTGTTTACGTGCTTATTTGTATCTGATGTGTATCATTCGACCTTCTCCACTTAATGTCTGAAAATATCATATAAGTTTTAATTATAGCGGTGAGATGAAATGTTTTTTTTCATACATTGTCATACTACCTTATAGGTATGCCACTTTTGTATAAGAAGTTGAGAAAGGTATAAATTATAATTTAAAATAGGTACTTAATACATGTTTGAGTCCTATCACTGTATAGGATAGTTTCCTTTTCATAAATAATTAATATTAATGTCTATAATTTTGTATTACCTACCGTCTAGTTGAAAATCATACGAAATTATTAAACAAAGATTGTCAATGTTATTTTTATAGTTTAGAAAAAAATAATAAGAGTATTTTAAATCATGGGAGTAAACACAAATGTATAATAATTTAATTTTAGCGGGAATCGATAAAACATCTGATAAGTTGTCTTGTAGGGGGGACATATAACTATTAAAGAATTCTTTAATGTGTCTAGTGAGAGGAGCTAAACTTATGGAAAAAAAAAATTGAAAATTATAAATTAACCGCGCTCGTTGATACTATAAAGTGATTACAGTCTATTGGTTAATGATAACTATTATCTGTGTTTTGTGGTTTTCCGACTAACCAAATAAAACCAGTTTTTGACTCGAGCATCACATATTATTCTTAAAAAAGATTTTACTTTACTAATGTGTGGTTTACATTAATTGATCTTTGTTTTTCAATAAATACAAATACAGAATTGTGCAGTAGGTACTTACATTCAGTTAACGGATTTCTACATCTTTATCTTAATAGATTGGTAAACATTTATTCAAGTAAGAATAGTTATATATCATTTATTTTTTCATTAAATATTCAATAAACAATGATTTACCTATAGTTTCTTGGATGTTATTTTCTCATTTGTATGTGTATTTTAATAATTTATTTTATAGATTGAAAGAAAATTATTGTTTTTATTGTTTATAACAATACATAGGTATGAACATTTTAGGAGGTACATATTATGACTCATGCGTACATCCATTTGATATTATGTGCATTGTACATATTATTTAGTTATATCAAGTGTCGTAAATTTTTAATAAATTGGTATCTACATATAATAAAGGGTTATTATTTAAAATGTATAAATCTATAGGTACCTATGTTATACCTATGTTTTATTATGTATGGTTCTTAGACCCTAAACATGGCTGGTATGCATTAACCATTTTTACATAATGCATATTATATTCTAGGTTGTTTATCTAAGATAATTGCCATATGATAAATAAAAATATCTGTGATTTTAATTGTATGCATATACATCATAAATCATAAACTTGCCTATAATAAATAATTTAAATGATAATACAATTATTTTAGGAATCCAAGTAACAAATCTATTTGGTACTAAAATCAGTTTTAATCTAAAACTATTTTCATAATTCAAACACTTATAATGTTATATTTATGTTAATATTTCTTGTTATATATGGTGATTTTTAATTATAGAGGTAATAATTATAATGGATTATAAACCTATTTAGATTTAGATCTATTGTCACTAGCTGTCCTGCACCAGGTGTGGCCAGTTCCAATTTTTGAGTCTTTTTGTCTTTATTCCTGTTTTGCTTTGCTCTTATTAATAGATGTATTGAACTTTTTGGTAAAAAGTGGGTAATATAGTGTTCTAGTATGTCATACAGTTTTTTATATTTGTATTACCATAAATACCTGCACAGCACAGGGATTAAACTATAAATCTACTATAACACTGTTCAAATTATGAAAACAGGATAGTAGGTACTGTAGTATTGTTTCTGTACCAAAAAATACTGTAGATTAAAAATAATGTCTTTTTACATAGTTTCACTTACCCACCCAGTACAGCATGTAGTTTTATGTGTATATATTATTCTGATGTATAAACAATAATACTGTAGTTTCAAAAAAATCGGTTCACTAGTTTTTGCGTAAAAGAATAACAAACTTTCATTCATTCATAAGTTTTCACAAACTTTTACATTTGTAATATTAGTAGGAGGTTTGTATTTTATAAATTATAACAGATTACCTATTATTAATCTACATAGGTATTTATAATATATTTGTGATATAACAAATATTATATTTTAATTAAAATTAATTTATAAAATCAAAGAACATACCTATTTATTGATGTTTTTTTTTTATTGTTTAGCAATGTTTAATAAACCACGTTTGAAAAAAGAACTAAGTGAATTAATTGTTGATCCTCCAATTGGAATAAAAGTTAATATAAAAGAAAACTCTTTGAATATTTTAGAAGCCGGTAAGAATTATTTATATTTATAAATACTATTATAAAATATTTATTTTTTCTGTACGCACACATTCTAAAAAGTATTGAACAAATTTTAGTCTGATGTTCATCAAAAAATACTGTTTAAGTATCAGAGAATGTTTAAATTTTAAATTTATATATTTTATGTTTACATTAGCTGAACTGCCTACATATTTTTTATTTAAGAAATAAAAAAATTGTACTAACAATTTATCTCTATTTAAGTATTCACAACAATGTATTAAATTGTTTTAGAAATAAATGGGCCGAAAGATTCTCCATATGAAGATGGAGTTTTCAAATTAATTATAGAAGTGCTAAAAGAGTAAGTATTTATAATTAGGTATCCACTTAGATTATATTTTAATGCAATATAATATTTAAGTCTTACACTTGATTTTGAATTGGTTTTTTTAATTGTAATTTTATTCTAGTTATCCATTTGAAGCTCCGAGGATTAACTTTATAACACCTATTTACCATCCAAACATTAATAGGATTGGCAGAATCTGTTTGCATATGTTAAATAAGTCTACAGAATTTTCTTGGAAACCTATGTATACAATAAAACACGCTTTAGTTGCTATAAGAAATTTAATGGATTGTCCAAATCCTGATGACCCTATGTTATCAGCTGTTGTAATACATTTTTATTTATTTATCATTTGTTATTTTACCTATGTTCTATTTTTTTTTATTTAATTAATAATATATTATGGGTTTCAGGCAAAAGAATATACAACTAATAAGGACGTATTTGAATACAAAGCTAAAAAGTTCACCAAAATGTATGCTACTATGCGCAGAACAAATACTCAATAACAAGTTATTAATTTAAGAGATACTGTACTTTTGTTATTTAATATCTAAGTTCCTATATGAACGTATTAAATGAAGTATTGTCAATTACCTTTTAAATATAAATAGTATTCTGAAATATTAATTAGTTATTATTTTTATTACAATTTTTTCAGTACAAAGCAACTCCAAACATAAATTTGATATGGTTATAATATTTATTTTAAGTCTTTAACATGGAAAAATATTGCTAGAAACCCAAAACACATTTGATTATAATTTTATCAATGTTGATGCAAAACTATATTCTCGTTTTTAAATGAAAAAGAATTACTAACCAAGTAAATTTTCTTTCAAAATTTGAATTTTTGACAATGCAATTGTTTGTGTAGAAATGTTCACCAAGTCTAATTGTGCGCAAAAATTTACTGAGTTATTCCAAAAATAAATTGGTAGAGAAACTTTTAGTAATATTAAGTGTCGTTTGATATTTTTACTTTATAATGTGCATTGCATAAATCAATTAGTAAACCTTAATTTCATATCCATATGGATGTTACATTATTTTATCATTGTCTAAATGCTCATAAAAAAATTATGGCATTTATTATTATTATTTTGAACCGATAAATAAATAAATATTATAGCCTTATACTTATGTACAAATACAAATCATTCAAATATAATAACTATTACCATTTTAGATCTTAATGAATATTTATATATTTTAAGTGATTTTAACTATAAACACTTTATAGCGTATTTTGTTGTGGGGATATTGTATCTTACATACATCAATTCCTATTGATTTATAGCATAGATTACAATATACAGAACTGTAAATGTGCTACAAAGTTTGTATTATGGTTACGATGCATTATAAAACAGGTGTGGTGCAATAGGTATATTTTTCTTTTAACAATACTAGAACCATTTTAACTGATAATTTTGGAATTTATTATACACTAGTTACTTATTAGTTCAAAAAGTATTCTCTAAGAATGCGTAATATAAATAAAAGAAATTATTTTTTGATTAAAACCGGTCATAGGTATTAACACACAGGAGTAAATAATACTGTTGAATGCATATACAAATATATATATTATTTATATTAAATTTGCCAGTGTTGTTAAGGAATTTGTTCCTAAAGGAACAATTCCTGGTATTGATTCCTTTTTACATGAACAAATGAATTAATTCCATTATTTTTTGAAGGAATTAGAACGTGAAATTAATTCATTATTTTTAGGAATAGGAACAAAACTATTGTAATTCTTTTGTTTTTAACAAGGAAATAAATTAAATTAAATTTATTAGTATTTTAAACTTGTCAATTCTAAGAAGTAAAAATAGTTTCCAATTTTAATTGACTTGATAAATAATTCATCAATTCATATTACACTTATTTTTTTATGAAAACTAGGTATCTACACAAGTAATAAATGAAAACTCTTAATTTCATATTAATTGTATACATTTGAATACTTCCAAAGCAAAATCATCAGTGATATTATTTTCAAATTAAGAATAAAAAGAGATTTTTTTGTGTGCATTAGGTATTCATAAAAAAAAAAAAAATAATGATCTTTTACTTGAACGACTTCCTTTTTTGTAGGAGGAACAAATTATTTTTTTAAAAGGAACTTTAGCAACACTGTTATTTGCGTATACTAAATAATTTTTTAAATATTGACCGAATTACCAGTGGAAAGGAGTAGTAATTAATTGTAACGCAAATTGTAACACCCAATGTAGCGAAATACCACGGCACGCTAGAAATGCACGACTAGCGTAGTGAAATTCATCATTATTTTGTCGATAACTACAATGAAATGGGGTCAGTTCTTCCCCAAAGATAAGAACGATTCGTAGGTTATCAAATTTTATGTAACACATTGTAATATAATTATTTTACAATGTTATTGTATTAAAATATATCAACTTATATTTTTCAAGAAAATGATGTTGAGAAATTTAATGTTTTTATATGAAAACCACTGACTTTAGTTAGTTTATTTTGTTGTTTACTTGGCCATATTTTAACCATGAATTAAGGTATATCTTAGTCCGTGATACATTACATATAACTGCGTAACGTATACAAATTTGTATATACAATTATACTTTTAATAGGAATGATAATGACGATAATATGGCTTTTTGATTTATTTTGCCAGTACTAAAAAATATTTTTTTTTTCATCTTTGGGTTATAATTATGCTTTTTATAATTTATATTTTTTTCTCAACTACTAATTCGACTTAATTTATGTGTAAGTAATATTTGAATTTTAAGTTTCTAAGTTTAGATTACTATTATATGTACTCCATTTTGTTGACAAAGGGATTGGTACATATTGTTGAAAAAGCAATGATTAACCGAGCTCTGCTCAGAATCGTTTTTCGTTAACAATGATAAATTTTTGCTTATAGATATATATTAAATTAAAGATTTATTTTAGATTCTATGTACTTTATTTATATTTTCTGGATATAATTTTCATTAATAATTAATACTAATGTCTATAGTTTTGTATTACCTACCGTCTAATTGAAAATCATACGAAATTATTAAACAAAGATTGTCAATGATATTTTTATAGAATAAAAAAAAATAATAAGAGTATTTTAAATCATGGGAGTAAACACAAATGTATAATAATTTAATTTTAGCGGGAACCAATAAAACGTCTGATAAGTTGTCTTGTAGGGGGGACATATAACTATTAAAGAATTCTTTTATGTGTCTAGTGAGAGGAGCTAAACTTATGGAAAAAAAAAAATTGAAAATTATAAATTAACCGCGCTCGTTGTTACTTTAAAGTGAATACAGTCTATTGGTTAATGATAATTATTATCTGTGTTTTGTGGATTTCCGACTAACCAAATAAAACCAGTTTTTGATTCGAGCATCACATATTATTCATAGAAGAGATTTTAGTTTACTGATGTGTGGTTTACATTAATTGATCTTTGTTTTTCAATAAATACAAATACAGAATTGTGCAGTAGGTACTTACATTCAGTTAACGGATTTCTACATCTTTATCTTAATAGATTGATAAACATTTATTCAAGTAAGAATAGTTATGTATCATTTATTTTTTCATTAAATATTCAATAAACAATGATTTACCCACAGTTTATACATATTATAATATATATGATATATATATAGTGAACTTATTGGTAAAAAGTGGGTAATACAGTGTTCTAGTATGTCATACAGTTTTTTATATTTGTATTACCATAAATACCTGCACAGCACAGGGATTAAACTATAAATCTACTATAACACTGTTCAAATTATGAAAACAGGATAGTAGGTACTGTAGTATTGTTTCTGTATCAAAAAATACTGTAGATTAAAAATAATGTCTTTTTACATAGTTTCACTTACCCACCCAGTACAGAATGTAGTTTTATGTGTATATATTATTCTGATGTATAAACAATAATACTGTAGTTTCATAAAAATCCGTTCACTAGTTTTTGCTTAAAAGAATAACAAACTTTCATTCATTCATANTAATTTATAAAATCAAAGAACATATCTATTTATTGATGTTTTTTATTTATTGTTTAGCAATGTTTAATACACCACGTTTGAAAAAAGAACTAAGCCAATTAATTGATAAACCTCCAATTGGAATAAAAGTTAATAAAAAAGAAAACTCTTTGAATATTTTAGAAGCCGGTAAGAATTATTTATATTTATAAATAGTATTATAAAATATTTATTTTTTCTGTACGCACACATTCTAAAAAGTATTGAACAAATTTTAGTCTGATGTTCATCAAAAAATACTGGTTATGTATCAGAGAATGTTTAAATTTTAAATTTACTTATTTTATGTTTACATTAGGCTGAACTGCCCACTTATTTTTTATTTAAGAAAAAAAAAAATTGTACTAACAATTTAACTCTATTTAAGTATTCACAACAATGTATTAAATTGTTTTAGAATTAAATGGGCCGAAAGATTCTCCATATGAAGATGGAATTTTCAAATTAATTATAGAAGTGCCAAAAAAGTAAGTCTTAATAATTAGGTAGCCACTTAGATTATATTTTAATGCAATATAATATTTAAGTCTTACACTTGATTTTGAATTGGTTTTTAATTGTAATTTTATTCTAGGTATCCATTTGAACCTCCTAGGATTAACTTTATAACACCTGTTTACCATCCAAACATTGATAGCGGTGGCAGAATCTGTTTGGATATATTAAAAATGCCTCCAGCTGGTGCTTGGAAACCTTTGATAACAATAGAAGGCGTTTTAGTTGCTATATGTAATTTAATGAATTGTCCAAATCCTGATGACCCTCTTGTACCAGATATTGTACTACATTTTTATTTATTTATCTTTTGTTATTTTACCTATGTTCTATTTTTTTTATTTAATTAATAATATTTTATGGGTTTCAGGCAAGAGAATTGAAAACTGATAAAGATATATTTGAAGACAAAGCTAAAAAGTTCACCAAAATGCATGCTACTATGCACAGAACAAATACTTAATAACATAATATTAATTTAAGAGATACTGTATTATTTTTATTTTTATAATATCTAAGTTCCTATATGAATGTATAAAATTAAATATTGTCAATTACCTTTTAAATATGTATAGTATTTTGAAATATTAATTAGTTATTATTTTTATTACAATTTTTTCAGTACAAAGCAACTCCAAACATAAATTTGATATGGTTATAATATTTGTTTTAAGTCTTTAACATGAAAAAATAATGTTAGAAACCCAAAACACATTTGATTATTATTTTATCAATGTTAATGCAAAACTATATTCTCGTTATAAAATGAAAAACAATTTCTGTCTATGATTATACATGTATTATTATGTATTTTATCTTTCATTCAGAAATCGTGCTATACTTAAAAATCAGCAATATTTTTCGTAGAAAATTTGCGCACAGATAAAAAAAATAAAAAAAAAATTTCTTTGTGAAACTTCTTCGCACCACTTAGAATTTAAAATGATATATTTATTAGGATTTTAATATTATGTTTGCAAACCAGAGTGACCTTCACGGTAAACCTCATGAAGTAGCAGTGGCGAATTTAAAGGTTCAAATAAAATTGGTAAATCTATAAAAGAGCTCTCGTACAAAATTTATTATTAACACTAACAATGGTCACATACTTACCCCAAATTTATAAAACCACTTGATTCTCTCGCGAATAATAATAATAAATTTTTTTTTTTTTTTAAAAAATTACACCATTTTTACAAATAAAACAAAATTAATATATAGTATATAAAATAAAATTATAAAATTATAGATGAGGATCTTTGTGAATCTAGTCTTGGAAAAATTTTTTTAGGATCAAGAAGTTGTACTTCATGGAAAGTAAGGCTTAAATACATAAGGTAAGCGAATTGTTTGTTCGATTTTGAACCATAGTTGAATAAAGATAATTTTTTAATCTTAGTACACTAGTTTCTATCTGGGGCATCATGTCGGACATTGAATGTTTAATAATTAGTGTAAAGTATAACTTAATATATTATCAATTGACTATTGGTGTATTTTAATTTGTATTGTGCGTGATACCCGATGCAGTGAAATTGATTATAAAATCATACGTTCGTACATAGAGATTAATATGCAGTCAGTGGCGTACCTTTGAGAGGATCACAAAGAGGGCATTCGCCCCCCCCCCCTCCTGTGGGTCGTATAATTATGTGTGACGATATGTGTACATTGTTATATTTTTTAAATTCGTAAGAAATTGTCTACTTTAAGAACGGGTGAAAATATATTTCGCACCTTCTCGTAAGAGAGGCTGAGATACGCCACTTTACGTAGTATTGCAGTAGTATTTATTATTATTTTTAAATAATAATATTTGTGATCAATAGTAGTGGGTATAGAAGGTAGAATAATTTAGATTTACGTATGTAAGTTATGTGTTCGATCTTTTCTGCTTTGTTTAATTATAACATTTTCTGATTTTGAAGTATTCCTATATATTTAAATTATTTTATTATTAAACAATGGCAAATTATATTCCATTTTGCATTATAATTGTTTTTTTTTTTTATGGCAAAATTATACTACCTAATTTAGGTGGGCCTCAGTATACAATTTAGGAGGGGGCTCCGTTGGCATTTGCCGACTAAACGACCGTTAAATTCACCACTGAACTAGGTAGGTACATTTTAAATACTATGCTTATTGTATATAATAAATTATGTAAGTTCAATATAAGTTTATGTACTTTTATTATCCATCAAGTTAGAATAATAATTATGGTCATCCGTATTATCAACAAATAAAGCTATATTTATGATTATTATAAAGAAATGCAGAAGTCAGTACGCAGTACTCAATGTCTCAATATAATGTAATCAAACGTTCATCTTCCTTGTTAGAGCAACTTTAATAAATTTCACCAGGTAGCGACTCTTTCACTTTCAATCGCGAATAGTTCAATGCATGGACGCCAGTTTTTCCAATTTACACGGGGTGCCCAAAATCATAAAACTATTGAACTGTTATCAAAATAAAAAAAAAAAAAATCAACAAAGCATTAGTCCTTTATTGACTTGATTTTTGTATCTGGGGGGGGGAGATGATGAGGCGTCACCGACCCGAGCAGGTAAACTTTTTTTTTTTCGGAGGCCTATAAATAGGCGATGATTTTTTTTACTCTAAAATAAATTCACTAAATTTTCCACTAAAATTAATTCCCAGAAGTGTAAGTTTTCTTAATTATGCCTAAGGGTGACAAAAATGTAAATACTTTTCTGCCAATATCTTAAAAATAATGAAGACTAGCCAACGAAATAAAAACAAAATGCTTTTTTTATTTTTAACTATAAGTAGTACCTACTAATAACAAATTATGTTTTTAAATAAATAAGAAATGACACTATTTTTGTCCATACAGAATTTAATTATAGTTAAATAATAGTTAAAAATAAAAATGTGTACAATAGGTACAATTTTTTTATTTTTCTTCAAATCTCAAACTTATTTTGTCTTACTTTGGTCGTATTAATAAATTTGTTAGCTATCTCGTCAATGTTTATTTTTTCTTCTTTATTGTGCATGTAATATCGCTATATCATTAAGCCGTATTTGTGTCATTGTTGATCTTAAGACTGTTCGAAAGAAACGCCGAAGAGCAGAAAAGAACGCTCAGCTGTACACGATGAAACTGGTACGGTTAACATAATCTTAATTAACTTAATCGCTTCTAGTACCAAATCTTGTTTCAAAAAATCAATTGCGTCTGACACCGATGTTAAATTAACCTATTTTGCTTTAAAACATTCTACATAATATTGCAGCGATGTAATTCTAATTTAGCCCAATCGAAATCATATCCATAGTATTCAGTTATAATAAATATATTTATTTTTTAGGATCTACTATAAAGTTTTCTACTTTTGTAAGATTTATTAAAACGTACCTAAATATAAAACGTTATCTTTGCAGTCGTCGTCGATAGACGTTGACGGTACCACCAAAATGATTATTTCTGCATGTATAATATTAACGTATAAAATATTTATACATTTTATTTTTTTCGTAGGGTGCTCTACACCCAACGAAAGAACCATGGGTTGCCCGAGCACCGCAGCGCCCCAATAGTGGGCGCCCATAGTTCAATGAAAAGGAGATGTTCAATAATAGTATGATCGAAATACCTAACTTTTGAAACGTATTTGATGTCTTTGCGGCATTATTTAGTTTTACACAAAAGTACCTACATAAAAATAGCAGAAGAACCTGACCAAACCATCGTCATTATCAAAAAAAAAATTTATCTGGTGTATTAATATATTTATTTTGTAATTAAAAACCTTCATTTATCACGCATTTATTTTGTTTTTTGTATTATAATATTTTATAGTTATGTTTAATTATTATTTATCACATAATATACCTACTAATTTTTTTACATCGCGTTTAATAATTTTTTTTAAGTGTCCCGTAATTTAATTTTATTTGTTTGGTCACCCTACCTTATAGTCTGTGCACGGCAATCTGTATATTCTGCAGTATAATTATTTATCATAAGACATTCGTTAATTATCTAGAAGTATAAAGTTAAATGTGCAACAAATAATTAAGATTGGTTATTTCCACGTATTGGTATAGTTAATTATCGTGACCGTGATTATTGCAGTTTTTTTGTTTGATAAAATGTTCGAATTGCCGCCATCGCTACAGAGTAATACGGCTAAGTATTATTATAAAAAAAGCATATTATTGAATGATATCTGACCCGTGGTATAATTTTTAATTGGTATTTATCCAAATACATATATAAATAACAATTGCTAACGAAAATACGATTCTGAGCGGAGTTCGGTTGATAGTGTTGCTTTGTCGACAATATCTAATATGTCATATTATGGTAAAATAATTACATAATTTGCATTAAACATTTTCTTGAATAACATTTGTTCACTATTGTACTTATTATCCCGGTTTTCCCATTTGCTGGGAAAATCAAAAAATTACAGTGACACCAGCAATTTTGATTAGTTTCGAATTAATATTGTCTTTTCCTGGTATCTTGTTATTTTTTAAAGTTTCAAATATTAGTTAAATTTCGTCCATACTGGGTTCGGGTAATTCAGGTTTAGCTGTTTAGTACACTAGTTGTTCATAAAAGCTGCAGTTGATGTTTTGATCGGTACTGATCTGATACTAAATTATCGTCTCTGTCTTTTATAATAGTCGTCCGTGCTTTAAAACCTTCTTTAACGCATTTGTATTTTTCAAAGAATAATTTTGTGTTATTTTTGTATACTTCTATTTCCTCTAACTTTTTGTTTTCAGCAATTCTTTTCTGTAGTTTATTATTTTATTTGCTGTATTACGTAGCCTCATATAATTTTCTGTGTTGTCTTTATTAGGCTCTTGTATCATAACTTTTCTTGATTCCTGTCGGTTTTTAATATAGCATATATATTGTTGTCAAAGCAACGACACTATCAACTGCACTCCGCTCAGAATTGTTTTTTCGTTAGTAATGGTTGCTTACAGATATACCTACATCAAATTTCCCCTTTATTTCCTTCCCACCTTTTTTTCCATTTATTTATTAAAAACTATTGGGTAGAGTAGGATAGTGCTTTACCAAAATAAAAACTTGATAGTAAAAGTTATTTTTGAAAAAGTCAATATTTTGCGAAATAATGAGTTTTTAACTCTAAAATAATCACCCTGCATCTTATATTATTATATAAATGTGATATTTTTTTTAACGGGTAATTTTCGAAATTATTGAACCAATTTACGTGCGGTGTTTTTCAGAATAGTCTGAGTTGTCTATAATAGGTTTAAAGCTATTAAACTCCTTGATCTGACCAGTATAATTAATAGAACTAACCTATAGTTATTTGAGTTGAATACAAAATAATAATTTATAGGTGTTTTTAATTATTCAGTAACTATATAACTAATCCATATAAATTTAAGAAGAAAATGAAAGAAAAATTGGTTTTATTGTATGTAGGTATTGTGTACGGTATACCAGATAGTTTGTTTTTATATAAGTCTTAAAATTCATTTTTTAGTTTAGAAACAAATTGTAGGTAGCAGCTACAAAGTACCCAACATCCATTACTGTTAAATAAAATTAAGTACCTACATAAATATTCATTAATAAAAAGACGTACTAAGATAATGGGGACGGGTGCATTCACTGTTATATATAATTTAATATACACATGTATATCTGTAAGCAACGATACCATTGCTAACGAAAAAACGATTCTGAGCGGAGTTCAGTTGATAGTGATGCTTTGTAAACAATATATATATCATATTATGGTAAAATAATTAAATAGGCATTATATATTTTCTTTAATAATATTTGTTTAATGTACAAATTTTCCCATGTTTTTTCCTGGTATTTCACATTTGTTGAGAAAACTCTTGGGAAAATCAAAAAATTACCATTTTAAAGTTCCTTCCCAGTCAAATTGTATTGTTGGCAGAAAAGTTGTCCACAAGAAAAAAGAAGGTCGTAATATTTTTTTAACTAATACTTACATTTCGTACATTTTCCCGTTTTTCCTTGGTGTTTTCCCATTTGTTGATAAAAATTCAGGGAAAATCAAAAAAACCTCTTCGATGTACCTCCCTACACCGATTTCCTTTCGGAAAAGTTATTACACTTAAAAACCGGAGCAAGATTTCTGGTAGAGAAGTTGCGGACAGATAAAAAAAAATAAAAATATTTATCTTTGTAAAACCACGAGCTTCTTCGCTCCACTCAAAATCTAATAGGTGCCATAAGTAGTTTAAAAAAGTAACTAGTATAAATATTATTTACTTAATTTTTATGATTAGTGAATATATTGCATTCTTTCTTAACTTAAAAAGACTCAAAGATTTTTAGTGTTAAATTATCTGAGGAGGGGGGAGGGCAAAATGATATCATATATTCTAACTAAGTATCGTTAATGACTGTTATGACGTTTTGACAGTAATTTGTTATTATATGCCTTATCAACTATAATTCTCACTCACCAGAATAATGCGAATTAACAAAACCTCAAGTGATAAGTGAATGATTGATCAGGCCATTAATTACGTAATATTCGTAATAATTAACAATTAAATAATAATAATAAATACGGAGTAAATTAAAGCAACAAAAAATAATGAAATATTTTTTTAATTTTTAAAAACCGTTTTCTACCAGAAATATTGCTTTAATAAAAAAAAAGAATGACAAAAGATCTTTTTGAAAAATGAATTGAATTGAGATGTCATTGAATTTTTTATCTATTTGGTGATTAATAAAGTCGTTTTTAGATTTTCTCTGTAGTTTTTATGATAATTAAGTAAAACCGAATAAAAGCGTTGAAAGAATGGGAAAATTTACGAAATTAATGCATTTATTATTTTACATTTT